TTGTGAAAATTTGTAAATGCAGTTTGTGCAATTTGCAAAAAAACGAAACTACATGTTTTTTCTATATTTTTTGTGCATTAACAAACATAACCATGATAAATGACGCTAACCAATTATTTTCGATTATTGATCGGTTGTAAAGAACCAATCATCAATTGTGAGATTTTAAGCAATTCCCAACACTAACAACTACTAGCATAAGAAAAGAAAAAAGAAGGTATACATTTTAGCAATCTGACTGTTTCACATTCAGATGAACCAAATATGAATATCTGACAATATCCAACGTTATCTACCTATTAATCCTCTCAATGTATTCATGTGCAAAATATTGGTTCAGCTGTACCTTATTTAATGACACCCCACCTGTTTGTAATCACCATCCTGTTTAAAGCGCCTTATGCTGAAATTAATTCAGCAGGCTAAAGGTCAACAAACTATTTGTTTGGGCTAATTTGTGGCACAAATACATTCACATCAGTTATATCGTTTTTCTTCCTTGCCAGCTGTTTTGTGTTTTGCTATTTCATTCATCCAAAGTAAGTTAATTTGGACATGTTGGAAACTAAATTACACCCTTTTCTTAAAAATACCCCAATCATTTATGTTCTGGACAAAGATCTTTGTAAACAAAACAATCAAATGTTTTATGTCGTGTCAGGTCCAGGTGGAAGGAAAGCCAAGGAGTCACAGACACGTGCCACTTTGGTGAAACAGTGAGCTGGGGTATGGAGGAAACATTGAAGAACAAAGTGGCAAAAAAGGGCATAACATGTCAAACAGCGAATAAAAATGAGATTGAGACAGACATTATTTGTTTTATCTGTGAACAATAAATACTGGTGACAGAGATCTTTGAGTGCACTGTTTTTGCCATACAGTACAGAACGTGGATGTTGTGGTACATGGTGACCTGCATGGATCTCCTGGAGGCAGCGATGAAACAGATGCTGCTGCTGCTGCTGCTGTTGCTGGATGATGTGCAGCCAAGATGAGAGGAGGGACGAGACAGGGAGTCTCTGTGCAATTTTATGTCTTCCCGCTCTTCCTGTGCTAGAAGCATGGCAATAACAGCATGCACTCTTCATCACAAGTCATGTACATATAAGCGCAAATCATAAACAATGTTAACCTGACTACACAATTCTGTCAGAAAGTGAAGGTTTGATTGTAATATACTTTTGCACAAACAACATTCCTCTGATGTTATTATCTAAAAAATACTGCCATATACAAGGTTGAAACTATGCTGTGACATTCACAAACAAGGTGGTTCCATGTTTAAACACAGAAATCTACCAGACACCACAATTTTTGAGCTTATCAACACAAGTGGTTATCTTATCTCCCGTCTGGTCATATGTCATATCATGTTCTGGTACATTATTGATCATTCTGATTCAAAAACAAATTATCCAAACATTTCATGAAATGGGCCTACCCTTTCTTATGCTTGCTGGAAACTCACATCAGTTTTGACTGGTCACTCATCTTACAAAAAACTTAAAGTGTGTTGTTTGACACCAAACTCAGGAGTATTCCAGCATTATAATGGTAGCCTCGAAATGATCAAGCCTGGACCAGACAATCCTGTGACTGATATAATGAACAACGACATGCAAATAACGAAGTCACAAAGCTGACAACCGATCCATGTAGTAGCCTCTTATGACATACTTCCAAAGCCACAGTATGTCATTGATGTTTACAGCTTAGATGAAATCCACAAGGATAGGATGGGTTGACAAAGTAAGGATCAACAAAGAGAGCAGGAGGCATACAAACACCAAAGGTGGTCACTTTGTATTATTCCATTCTCACTTTTGGTCTCAAAATCCTCATTAGAGTCAAAGAAAATTAAGACAAGAAGGGCATTTAATCATTTGCATACAGCCATACAAGTGTGACGTAACACTACACTATGAAGCATAGCCACTTGTAAAAGTTCGAGATTTCACAAGTGATTGAAAATGCCTATTCCAGAGACATTCAAGAGATTAGAATCATTCATAAGAAAATGAAACAATAAACAAAAAAGTTCAATTTCAATAAAATGTTGTTACTGTATGATTGACTCACACATTGATTACACATGTGAAGCCGGCCACGCCGAGGTCGGGTCTAATCTGTTCGCATGTAATAAGGTCCCTTCTCCAACGCTCCTACCACATGTCATAAGATTTTATCGGAGAGCTTCTTATGACCCTGGCGTCTCCCCTGGGATCTGGCTTTAGAGCCCTAGCGTTTCAAACAGCGTAAAACAGTGAAACAACATATTTATTTTATTGTGGGATTAGACGAATCAATAATCATCAACTTGAGGTCAAAGATACATGTCCTCCAGAGGACCACACTGTCCTCACTAATCTAGCCCTCCGTTTCAATTCTGTCCGGCTTTTTAAACATGTCCTCATTAAATAGCCCATCCAATATGCTTTTCGACGATGACAAAGCTTGCTAGGAAGTTAATTGTGCATTTTATTAACTTGGATTGTTATTGGGAGGCGTATCTAATGAAGAAAGCCGTGCCCCAGTGGCAGTTGGAATCACAGTTGAAAATCTAACCATCTTACCGGGTGCAAAACATGAACAGCAACATTGATTTTTTTGGCCCCAAGTCAGTGACGTGATGAGTGAGTGAGTTTAGATCTACGCTGCTTAAAGCAGTTGAGTCATTACACAGAAGAACATGACAAGAAAGAAGATTTTGCCTTTTGCGCCCAATGGAATCTGTTTTGTCAGATAAAGTGACTGATTATTCTTTGGTACTGACGTTTCAAATTTCCGTTTTGATCAAATGTACATGAACCTGGTGTTGGGCATGACGAGCGAACACTGTAACACTCTGACATCCATCCTCAGTGGCTGATGTAACAGGATCATAAAGTGATGCTGTAGTGCTATGACAAGCCCAGTTCAATGTATCAGCATGAGAGTTACAACAGTAATAACAAAGGGTCTGGTTCTATTTCAGGGGAATTTTCCGAGAATTATTCCCTGAATTGAAATACAGCCTGAAGAGGAAGCAATGGACTTTCCAGTAACCCCCCTCCTCTCCACACCCCTAGGCCTCCTTTCACAAAGCACTAAGGTGATCGTAAGTCACTAAGGTAACCTTAGTGCAATGTTAAAGAATGGGAGTTAAGGTTAACCTTAGTAAAGGTTGCTTCATGAAAGGAGCCCCTGGTTTACAGTGGAAGTGTGTGTATATTTGAAATGGTTAGCATGGGTTTACCTTCACTGTCCTGGGGACCCCTAAAAATCAATTTCATGGTCCTTACAGGATACATTAGGGCTCTGTAAAGTAATGAGATGGCGTAGTTCATTGTAACTTGTGGGAAGGATGTATCTTTAAGTCTTGTATGTATCATACTACAATGAATGTATGCATGAATAACACTACAAGCTCAAAATAGACCTTTTAATAGAATTATTGCAAAAAAAGCCCATAAATGCTAAGTGTTTTAAAAATGTAATTATTATGATAAAATGGATATTTTATACTTGACTCTTTATAATTTAATGTAATAATGAACACTGATAAGCGTTTACTGAAAGATTATGATAAAGGTGCAGATTGGGACAAGTGACGATCTGACATTGGTCCATTTAGAAATTTTACACTGTTTTCTTCAATATTCATATCTTTGAAATGTGGACAACACATTGTTGAGAAAGTCATGAAAGTGGAAAAAAAATAGAGCTCAATATAGATGGCTCTGGTAAGCCAATTATGGATGATGTATGATTTCATAACCTATTTACTATGAATTTACAGACCATGTAACAACCTTCCTGTCTTGTGACAAACACAATCTACTACATACTGTCCCTCCATGCCAGGACACTCAGTGATGCACTGGGCACCTTCTGTCCCAGGATTCCCCCTAGCCAGATTCATCTCAATCAGTACATACTATCTCGGTGCTGCCACTTGACAAGAGGGAAGCTAAGGAGTAGTCAATCTTACAAACATGATATAATATTTCTAACACTGCAAAACAGTTTCAAGTCACACTTATCACATCAGGGGATAGAGAATTGTCTAAAGGTCATGACTGGACGTGTTTTTGTTCATGACGTGAGATAAACATGGCTCTTGATAGGACGATGTAGAACAATGATCTATTACATATTCTCCATCACTTATTTTTGCCTGAAACAAATGGCAACAGGGCATTTCACTGATCTTATTAACTTCTGAGAGCACATTCTTCTATATCCTGACCAAATCTGACCAAAACCGTCAGTCAGTATCCTATTAAATGAAGCCATCTAAAAACCCTCCACTGTGTACCCTGAACCATTTGTTTGTTGTGTAACACACCAGTGTTTGAAATAGCCACTGGCCCGCTAGCCTGTGGCTAGTAAAAATCCAGTCGGGGTAATAAATCTCCACAGTCACTGGCCCAACTGGTAAGAGACTTTTCATGGGGCCATTTTGTAAATATATCCCTCTCTCTGACTTGTTAAGTTATAACACACTTTTAAATCATGCAAGATTATGGCCTAATAAAAATGTTCATCATATCAGCAGCTTAATGATGAAACCCGTGTCTACATTCAAATTTGGGGCTTGTGAATCATTTTTTGCGGCCTAGTAACTTTCAGGCATAGCCCGAATGGCTAGCCAAATTTGGAAACTATTTCGCACACTGTAACACACACTTGGCAATATTCCTGCCATATGATGGGGATCTGTAAACAATCGACCACACAGTCCAGTGATTAAAATGATGGGTATCAATTACGGAAATCGTACAGAATGATATGCATCAACCAAGACCCCCCCTGTCCACCTTTTACTACAAGCATGGGTTTCACAAAGCTAGTTCCAACATGGAGCTTCACTGGTCTGTTACAACACAGACTGTTTATTATATTCAAGAATGATATCCCAACAGTGAAGCAAAAGTGACCTGTTATCCAGCCAGCCACTGTACAGCAACTATACATCTTGTGGTGTCAGGTCGCCCTGAGAGAGTCACACATCAACTGACCTGTTTGATGCTGCTGGGACGATGTATGTAATCACCAAACTTTCTCAAGATGGACTCCGAGGAAAGGGTTCTGGAAAGTAAATTGATGCGATTAGCGTCCATCTGGAGACTGGTCATTGTTACTGGCGTTTTTCACCCTTCCCAATGTCCCAAAGCAGTTCTGTTTAATGGAACTAGTGTTTTAACAAATCTGTCCCTGTCAAAACTAAACAATTACTGTGGGGTAAGCTACAGCCTCTGGCTGCCTGTTGGGCCTTGGTCACCATGTTGGCATTAGGCACAGCAACCTTTCTTTGGATGTAAGAAATAAAAATGTTCTGAGAATCTGTAGCTCAACCAGATCAGTCGCTACACATACATACATTCTGTGAGAATGTGAACTTAAAACTACATGCACACAGCATATGCATCACATATAATATTGACAGATGGTATTATCATATAATGGATACTACTATCAATGCAGTAACCAATCTGATGATCTGATGAACATGGAAAAGAGGTCACCGACCCAAACTACTTACATGCTCCCTCGAGCAATGGCTGCTTAATTGAATAAGATTGAATTTAGCATAACATTCCTGATATTTTAACACAGTGTTTTCCCAACAAGTGTGTGTATCTAAAGACATGGCTGCCAACTACTTGGCACCTTGTGATTAATGAAGCAGATCAGTAAAAACATGGCAGTCCTAAAGTTACTTCATTGAATTAAGTTTTAAACTTGAGTGATTTTCAAAAGGGCAGAGGTTATTCTGTATTGTAAAAGTATTATAATATATATTATACAGGATATATTTTTATGATTAAAAACCATTAGGATTCCACTTGTAAAATGGCTCACATCATACATTTACTTATATGTGTTGTTTCTGGTGAGGAAGCACTCTCAAGTAATGATCTATCCAAATTACTTTTCAGAAGTAACTCATAATCACTCTTGGGATGAAATCTGATTTTGTGCATACAAGTTCAGTTTCATAAAGAATTATTTTAGAGGACATGTTTTAAGATATTACAAAAATATATTGGGTATGTGCAAGTCCAAGATCCAAGACTTTTTCTGTAATAAAAAAGTGCCCAAGAAACTCGAAGATATGTCGTGATGCACAATATAAAAACTTCTAAGAAATCTTGTTAATAATCTCTACGTCAGAAAGCAACTTCATATTGTAGGAAACTTGTGCTTTACAAATATCACACAGTACTCAGTTCCATTATAAATTTGATCGCATATAAACTCTCAACAAAATTTGCTGTAATTTCTTTGTAACATATGAAGTTTAGAACATACTGACAAAATTTGCTAGAAAGATGTGCAATGAAGTGTATTTAGTGGGAGCCAGCCTTCATGATTCATGTCGTTTCCTCAACATTAATTTCAATAAGAGGTTTTATTTGATCAACCTCCAGTATTTGTTTGAAATGTACCTCATCACACTCATCAGCAATAGAAATGTTTCACCATCAGAGACTTCACCCACAGGCAGGTGTACCCCAAGTGAAAAACTAAACACTTGAATAATCTCTTTTGCATCTTGTGTGAATTAATAAAACTATATACCCATATTTTCATCCAGCTCTGTCATATCTCAACCACACTGCCATCATACATAAGCAAACATAAAAGCAAAAACATTCAAATCAATATAATTTCTTCTTTACACTGAAAAATTCAATTCTTCAGTTATTTATATGTTTGGGAAAAAAAAATCTTTTGGGATAATTATTTTTTTCAGTGAGAATAATGTTACATTATGAGAAAAAGCAGAGGCAGCAAACTGCTCCCATTATCTGTCCTTGCCAATCAATTTGCCCCGCAGTTCTAGTGTGCTGGTAGTTGCATGAATTCCCTGGACAGAGACGACGGACTTAATCACACTTTATAACAGGCTTTACGCTGCATCCTAGAAATATGCTTGCCATACTGTTTCAACACCATGTTTTAGGGTAAAATTGGGAAAATTGTGTCTTGTAATAAAGCTGTTATCTGGCTTTGCTGGGAAGCCCTGGACCATTGCCTGCATTGTACTACATCATGATGTCAGACTGAGATTAAAGCAAGCCTACAAGAATAACGGATGTTGTAACAAGTGAAATGGTGTGACAAGCTATTAAGAATTGTCAAAATTAAGTGCTTGCCTTCCAATACACTTACATCAAGAACACTGATAGGTTTTTACTCTGTGCATCAAGAATTAAGCTCAAACAAACTCTCTATTCAAATACTGTCCTTCAAATACAATAAATATATTTTTTGAGTCACTATATCTCTCATAGTGGCCTTAATCTTTCACACAAACTAAACTAGGACAGGTGATACCATATAATGTCACCTGTTGAAAATATCTAAATAAATAATTCTATCATCTTGGATCAATAGAGTATATTACGAGATAACTAATATCTGTGTTTGTCCTAATATGGTTTCACTGAATATTTGCGAAGATGAGTAACACAATGTAAGAAAAATGAAAGCAATGTTTTGCTGGGTTATCACAGATGAAAGGCAATTTTATTAATAGAAAAAGGACTGTAAACTGTAAATGATTTCTTTTCCCTGATTTAAAACTGCGATGCATTTATATCTGTTCCATCTTTAATCTGAAATTATATGAGAAATTGAGAGACTAGGATCTCTCCTGGCAGCTATTCCTGTTGCATCCTGGGAAATCCCCCGAGTCCTGTTGGCTCACTCACCCTCCAAGGGCTGAATCAAAGGCAAACACGGCGTTATCTCTCTGCAAGGCGAGGACCAATGTGGGGCCTGACGTCAGGCTCGGAACCTGCAAATAGAATGAATTTAAAGAGACATGATCAATCTTACCCTCTACTTTAATTCCACTCTTGACACCAAATTTGTCTAACAAAATAAGCAGGACAAGAGATCTCTTAACAAGGTTACCAACGACAACCCTTGTTCAGTACATGTTAACTTGGAGGAACAATCCAGGGAAATGGTGGACTCTTAACTAGATTTGTGATTCATGGGAAAATACCAGAATAATTTCAGATAAGTTAATTTTCAACGTGTGACTGTGAAATATGTGATCTGTGATCAGAAAAAGAAATCCGGTTTCTGTCAGCTGATCCCCGCTCCATGGGTATGGCAGGATCCATATACAGCCACACTATGGCTAATTCTACCATCTGGCCACTTTTAGAATTCCAATCCCCTTTATTCAATCAAGATAAGTAGGATCCAACCTGTCATATGTTACCCTTCCTACACAGAAGTAATCCCACCAGTCACAGTGGCAAATGTTAGATTGAAATCAGGACATGAAATCATATCTCAGTGTTGTGTTATAAGGATGGTAAAGTAAGACACAAACACGAAGGTTGTACAGATGGGATGTTTTCAGCTAACATTAGATTTTTCAAGAATACACAAATAATGTTACGATATTGTGTCACTACTGAATCGGAGGTTCACAACATCTTTCAGCTTCTGGAAAAGAAAGTATCACACAAATCTATCTAATGATTATAAATCATGATTGTGGTAACAAATTTATATGACCTCTTAATGCTGACCCGAGCCTTACACCATGAAATTAATGTGAGCAGAGCTCCAGATAAGATTTAGCTCATGTGAGTACTGTACCCACTGTATTTTTTTGGAGTGGGTATTATGAATGTTGAGTGGGTATTTCTTTTGCTGTTACCCACTGCTTTCAAATATGTGCGTATTTCAGTCATTTTACTCACCTAAGTATATGCCATTGAGTAAGTTTACTAAGCAGGTATGTTCTGCCTTATGTCATACCTACCGTATATTACCGTCTATAAGCAAAAAAAAAGCAGTCCGTAGAAGGGGGTCGTCTTATCCATGAGTTACGCTATCGTCAAACTTTTTTCCAGGGGTAAGAAAACAACATCAAATCACTTCGCGTGAACATACAACAGAAGACGACTTTGTCAGTAGAGACGTCAAATTTGCAATTAAACATCACTAGACAAGATTATTTTCCTTTTAAGCTCTAAGTTGTTTTTGCTGGGCATTGTATTATTTGCAGGGATTAAGATTGCCGTGTGTATTTGAGCCGGAAATAGCAATCAGCTGTGCACATGTTTCCCGGCGATCAAGTTCAAACATGCACAATAATATAACAGGACGAATTCTGACGCAGTCATCAGTAAAAATATAATACAGAATACTATTATTTAACCCAAAGAAATATAACCTAGCATTGTGAAATTTTAATTACAGTTATTATGTAAAATATATCAGAGACCATATAATAGTCTCTGAATATATATAATCAACACTAAGGTCATATGGACCCTCATGAACATGGTAAGCAGAAGTTATACGCACATGGAATGGGGTAAAATACGGAAGCCATTGCAAAAAATTCATACATTTTTACAGATGTTACTGTAAACTAGCAGTCGATGGAAAACGAGGCGGTAATCAAAACCAACTTAAATATAATGGAAATGATTTCATAAAAAATCACTCATCCTATACTGACAGTACAACACTTGTCCTATACTAACAGTACAACTTGATAACAATCGATGTCTTTTTCATTACGCAAGCGATTTTTATAAATATATTCCGTACGCATTTGTTTTAAACTTTCTGCGCATCTAACATTTTAAATGCGTAATTGGTACGCAACAATTATTTTTCAATGCTTAATTCTATGCGCATTTTACCCGGATACACAGCTTATCTGGGCCTCTGTGTGAGGTTCCCAATCTTCAAATGTAGAATCCACAGTCTATTAATCAAGACATTGAAAAGACTGTAGTACTGTAGCAGGTGGATACAGACTGTTTAAAGTTTGCACGAGCTCACTCTTCGTGTGTGATCTAAGCGAAATTCGAAATTCAAAATATAGACACTGTTATGTCAATGAATGGTTCTACCTAAGTGCCTCAGGTTATCCAATGTTGGACACATCAACAGATGCTGACTGAACAAGGAATATGCTTGGACCAAGCTTTTACTTGAGAGACGATCACAAGTGGGGCAGATCTTAGTTTGACACAATGGTGCTTGACTGTAGTCATAATAAACTGTACTAGGTCACTACTGATTGTAAGAACTTTCTAGTGTGTCTACAAGAGTAGGTTTTATGTAAACCATGACATTTTCACCATGTAGGTGAGTGGCAGTTATTTAGTACATGCAGCAATGTTTTCACAAACTTACCAACACCAAAGAGGTCATCATACATGTTTGGGAGTGTTATAACTGCTTGATCAACTTGTGTGAACACTCTCACCACACTCGACATGGAACTTGGTGAGAAGCACTGTCAAAACCTTGGGCTTCATTACACTGTTTATTGTGAGTTTTGTTATATACATGTCATTGTTTCCATCCCTGGGCAGCGAACGTGACAATGAACTCCAATATATTGTGATAAAATAGTGTAACTTTATTAATGCGAGCAAGGAGAACTTGCTGTTTTTGTATTATTTTCATGACTTACAGAGTTGGGTTTCAGTCTCTATGACCAGTTATATCACAACATGTTTGCTTACTGTGGTAGACTGTAACCACTCCAAATCATCATGACTCCCTGGTGTCATGAGAGGGAGTCATGGGCATGTTTTGGGGAGTCAACTTCATTTTGGAACTTTCATCAAGATATCAGCTGTGATTGTTTAATAACGACAAAAAAACAAGGTAAGGCAGGCCAGGTGTTTAGTCAGCACTGAGCAGTTAACTGGCAAACATTAAACTAAGTAGTTTAGATTATCTGAACTAAGGTCCCAGTAGCATTGCGTCAACAATGACACAAGCTTCTATATTTACTGCGTATTTGAGATAATTTGTTCGTCAAATATGCAGGTTTTGTGTGTCATGGCAAACACTCCGGTGAACAAGGATTCGAAGCCTCAAGTCACAGTGTCTTGACTACACAAGGGACACAACTCTGCACAGGACGCTGTAGCACCTGAGTTGGCTGGCCACCTGCGACCCTATCAGTCCTGGGTGCCGTTGTACAAAACAACCTTAACGCTAAGACTACCTTAGGTCTATGTTAAGGTATGGGAGTTACGGTCACCTTGGCGCTAAGATGACTTTGTACAACGACACCCTGGTATGTAATACAGTTACAACAAAGGATAAAGCCAGTGAAATGATTGAGAATATTTGCCAAACAGTGAGTGAGTCAGTTAAAATTTATCGTCACATATTTCAGCCATATTGTGATCATTTGCCAAACAATTCAGCTCACTTTTGTCCACAATGATGAAGGATCAATGTCATTGCCAGTCAACCTCTGCCTCTCAAACCTCAATCAAGCATTCACCCTTAAAACCAAACCCAGGTTTGGAAGAATAACGAAGATGTAGCTACCTGTCTGAAGCTGCCAGCATCCACTAGATGGAGAAAGTGTTCTGCCTGGGCTCTGGTGAACCAGAGCATCCGTGCAGCACTCAGTTCAAACCTGCAACACACAAGGATCTCAGCTCATGTTCTGGGATCTATAAAGTTGCCTGATAATAAATAGCAGTTTTCTCACAAATTTAATGCTGCAACTTTCTGTTATAATATGGCCTGCAGGTTGAGTCAAAACAATTCTTTACAACTAGTTACATGAGCTAAACATAGTTGATGAATAAAAAAAACAAAGAACTAAAAATCATGCCAAACAATGTATCGGGGCAGATGTAGTCAGTGTAATGATGCAATAAGATGTATCGGGGCAGGTGTAGTCAGTGTAATGATGCAGGTGTAGTCAGTGTAATGTGCAATAAGATGTATCGGGGCAGGTGTAGTCAGTGTAATGATGCAATAAGATGTATCGGGGCAGGTGTAGTCAGTGTAATGATGCAATAAGATGTATCGGGGCAGGTGTAGTCAGTGTAATGATGCAATAAGATGTATCGGGGCAGGTGTAGTCAGTGTAATGATGCAATAAGATGTTTGTGCAGTTTTGTTTGTTTGTATTTAGTTTAACATTGCACTCAGCTATATCCCAGCTGTATGGCAGTGACCTGTACATATTGGGTCCAGACCAGACAATCTGCTGATTGACACCATGGACATCGATCTCCGTAACTGGGACATGATGACGTGCATCAACCAAGTGAATGAATGAATGAATGAATGAATGAATGAATGAAAGAATGGTTGTCATGCAACAGCTGACAATACGGACCAGTAGTTGCTATTGTGACCCACATAGTATGAGGACACACCATCGTAACCACACAACTCAAATTGGTGGTCTCTTACTACAAGCAACAGACTGCTTGTGGAATATTTTAATGTCACTATCTACCGCCACTTTGGATCAGTAACACATCTGTGTAAGTTTTAGTGAGCCAAGATCTATTTGTATGACTGCACCTACCCATGTGTGAGCAGAGCGTCCAATAATTCCACATGCCCCACCCCCAGCTGGTCCCGGCCACGCCCAGTAAGCACTGGGGACGTCAGCACCAGACACATTGTCTGCAGCAGCATTTCATGGATTTCTGAAACACAGGAACAAATATAGTAGCGACTCAAACCTGGTGTGCTCTCCTGCTGCTTACCATTTATAACATCTTCACCATTAAAACCTATATGTGCTGTGTAATATTGGTTTACGGACTCAATAATTTCTTTTTCATGATGCTCAGCTCTGGAGAAAAACTGGTTGCAGTGCACGGGTATGTGCTGATAGAACAAGATCATAAAACGTGGATAGGTCTGGATTTGTGAAAGTGATAAGCAGATCCTTGCTCTACTGAAGGAGGCAACTCCATTAGAGGAGTTATAGACAACTAACCCACTTTTGCTCCTATAAATGCAACATCTCTTGAACATCATAAAGTCCAGTCAAGTTATGGATTCTCAGTTGAAGGGAAACAACTATTGTATCAAACCTCTGTGCATCAAGGGAGACAATTTCCACTACTTTCGTGAAACCAAATCATTATCTGTGTTAGAAAGTTAAAAGAGGTAACTTTCAAATAATGAGACTGGTGTATAGTATCTGTTCTGGACAGCTAACAGGACTCATTGCTTCTTCTATTGCTCTCATTTTATGAAGCCGAAATATCACACTGCTAAACAGAACATAAAGATTTCAAACTTGAGATGATGAACTGGTCGCCTGATAAGAGTGAGTGTCGATGTAGTGTTTGGACAGGATTCATTATAGATATCTTGTCCAGATCAGTGATCACTAACCTGCCATATCTGTGCTGTAGGACTCAAGAGCTTGACTGTGATGTACCAGATTTACATCTCGACTGTCAAAGTGATGTAGATCTATAGACAGGTCTTCAGCTGGACACACAATCTGTAACACAATACCAGATGTCAGCACCATCCTGTGAGTTCCATCACAGAGGAAAACATTGAAAACCTGTGTCACATCAAGTTGACATGTCACGAGATAATTGAAACACTGCCCTAAATATAATTAAATCTGACTTATCATGTAACTAACGCTTTTAGTCATGACATAAGCTTAAGGCATGATTGCCACCATCCTCGGAGGTAATAAAATTAAATGCATCCAGGGTACTAGTGGAGATTTATCGGAACGTATGCCCTGGAGATTATCGAGGATGGATTGTCACACCCTAAAGGCATAAATACCTATGCACATTAGATTGTGTCTTGGAGTGAAGAACAGTGTAACATTCCACTTACCCCATGGTTGACTAATTCTGGCGTCTCCTCACAACACAGACCTTCAGGGAAGAAGAACGCCAGGTCCAGCATCGCCCGGTAGTAGTCATGGGAACCTATGGATGGGTGATGAGAAATTCTTGCAAGTGACATTTCTGGGTACATAACAGAGCTAGCAATGACTAGGGATTAAACGGTATACCACGGTATTAGTAGAGACGCGGTATTTTGCCTTTAGTTTGGTATGCCGTAATGCAATCCCAAAATTTGGTATTTGCAGTTGTCATGCCGTCATTTTATTAACCTTTAAACCTTTTCTAAAATGTCTAGTAATTGAATCATTTTGTCAAAATCTAAGCATTTCTTTGCTAGACGAACGTTATTTTCCCAGAAGGAAGTTCTCATGTACTGAACCGAAGGCCTTGTACTGCAATACATACCGTACCATGGTAAGAGCACAGCGTTTCACTCCTAACAATGACCACACACAAACACGTAGAAACATGAGCAGTAACATCTGACATCAGGTTCACTGACAATCAACCTGGTGACAGAGTCTGACCAGTCAGTGATCAGTTGAAGCAGTACTTCTGACAGGTATGTGGTACCAGCTGCTGGCTCTGACGGGTATGTGGTACCAGCTGCTGGCTCGGACAATTTCACACTTCATGGAGGCACGAGAAAATGTGAAAATAATGTGTATATATGCAAGTAATTGCATCGTGTTTTACATGGGTATACCACACTAGACTCAGTATGATTATCCCACACTAGACATAGTTTACAGACTTCAAGATGACCAGTACGTATCCTTTTGGTATGGGTATACCACACTAGACTCAATATGATTATCCCACATTAGACATAGTTTACAGACTTCAAGATGACCAGTACGTATCCTTTTGGTATGGGTATACCACACTAGACTCAATATGATTATCCCACACTAGACATAGTTTACAGACTTCAAGATGACCAGTACGTATCCTTTCGGTATGGGTATACCACACTAGACTCAATATGATTATCCTACACTAGACATAATTTACAGACTTCAAGATGACCGCAGATCGATGCTCATATTGTTGATCACTGGATTGTCTGGTCCAGATTTGATTATTCACAGACCGCCGCCATATAGCTGGAATATTGCTGAGTGCGGCGTAAAACTAAACTCAATCACTCACTCACTCACTCAAGATGACCAGTACTAGACCTTTTGGTATGGGTATACCACACTAGACTCAGTATGATTATCCTACATTAGACATAGTTTACAGACTTCAAGATGACCGCAGATTGATGCTCAAGTTGATCACAGGATTGTCTGGTCAAGATTCAATTATTCACAGACCATTGACATATAGCTGGAATTTTGCTGAGTGCGGCGTAAAACTAAACTCAATCACTCACTCACTCACTCAAGATGACCAGTACTAGTCCTTTTGGTATGGGTATACCACACTAGACTCAATATGATTATCCCACACTAGACATAGTTTACAGACTTCAAGATGACCAGTACGTATCCTTTTGGTATGGGTATACCACACTAGACTCAATATGATTATCCTACACTAGACATAGTTTACAGACTTCAAGATGACCGCAGATCGATGCTCATATTGTTGATCACTGGATTGTCTGGTCCAGATTTGATTATTCACAGACCGTCGCCATATAGCTGGAATATTGCTGAGTGCGGCGTAAAACTAAACTCAATCACTCACTCAAGATGACCAGTAGTAGTCCTTTTGGAATGGGTATACCACACTAGACTCAGTATGATTATCCTACATTAGACATAGTTTACAGACTTCACGATGACCGCAGATTGATGCTCATGTTGATCACTGGATTGTCTGGTCAAGATTCAATTATTCACAGACCATTGACATATAGCTGGAATATTGCTGAGTGCGGCGTAAAACTAAACTCAATCACTCACTCAAGATGACCAGTACCTATGCTTTTGGAATGGGTATACCACACTAGACTCAGTATGATTATCCTACACTATACATAGTTTACAGACTTCAAGATGACCAGTTCGTATATTATCGGTATGGGTATACCACACTAGACTCAGTATGATTATCCTACACTAGACATAGTTTACAGACTTCAAGATGACCAGTTCGTATCCTATTGGTATGGGTATACCACACTAGACTCAGTATGATTATCCTACACTAGACATAGTTTACAGACTTCAAGATGACCAGTACTAGTCCTTTTGGAATGGGTATACCACACTAGACTCAGTATGATTATCCTACACTAGACATAGTTTACAGACTTCAAGATGACCGCAGATTGATGCTCATGTTGATCAATGGATTGTCTGGTCAAGATTCAATTATTCACTGACCATTGACATATAGCTGGAATATTGCTGAGTGCGGCGTAAAACTAAACTCAATCACTCACTCACTCACTCACTCAAGATGACCAGTACTAGTCCTTTTGGTATGGGTATACCACACTAGACTCAATATGATTATCCTACACTAGACATAGTTTACAGACTTCAAGATGACCAGTTCGTATATTATTGGTATGGGTATACCACACTAGACTCAGTATGATTATCCTACACTAGACATAGTTTACAGACTTCAAGATGACCAGTACTAGTCCTTTTGGTATGACACAACCTAGGGTCAAAGCAGTGACGTTCTACTCTCCAGACAATTGACCCCCTCATCCACTAGACAATAGAAGTAGATTGACTGAGATTTACCATGTACCCATCAATGTGTAAGCTATGGTGTAACAGTCTACAATTAGTGGAACTGTGTCTGAAGCAGACAACCAGTGGTTGATGGTATGACAACATATGTCCCACAGATACCCCAGTATGGTGTTTTTACTACCCTCTGTCAGATGGTGTGTGGTACAAATCAGTGTTGATCTCACCATAAAGGCCGTTAGCTACTGTGTCACTGCCAAATGTTCCTCTCCACAGAAATTGACTCTGACGCCGTGCACTCTGAGGATCCTCTGGTCCAAGAATGTCCACTAATCGCTTGACTGCATTCTCCCGTCGGAGACACACATATAAAGACGGACTGGACGTTAGGTGGTCAACGTGGCTCTTGCATAGGGCCAAATCCTGGAGGAAAATCAACATAAAATATTTTAAAATACAGTTACATTACTGGAGAAATATCAAATATTTTCATTATCTACAAGAATTGGACGATTTTCAAAAGTTCTTAAAGTCAATAATCCTTGAAATCTAAAGTTATGTCAGTCAGTTACAATTAAAAACCAGCCAGTGTCAGCAGCCAGATGAGCTTCAAACAGAAGTCAGGCAGAGGAGCTTCAAACAGAAGTCAGACAGAGGAGCTTCAAACAGAAGTCAGATAGAGGAGCTTCAAACAGACGTCAGACAGAGGAGCTTCAAACAAAAGTCAGACAGAGGAGCTTCAAGGAGGCAGGCAGAGGAGTTTCAAATAGACGTCAAACAGAGGAGCTTCAAACAGAAGTCAGATAGAGGAGCTTCAAACAGACGTCACACAGAGGAGCTTCAAACAGACGTCAGACAGAGGAGCTTCAAACAGACGTCACACAGAGGAGCTTCAAACAGACGTCACACAGAGGAGCTTCAAACAGACATTAGATGTTTGTTCCAGTGTCAGCTGCAAGACCAGCTTCAAACAGACGTCAGATGTTTGTGTTAGTGTCAGTTGTTGAAAACAACACTTACTCATACTGATATACAAACACTACCAGAAGTATGGGAACTCCCGATTCTATGACATCTGTTATGAAGTTATTCGTAAGACTTTGCATTTATCTATTCACAAGAAGGCCAAGATAATTGAATACTTTAGCTGCTACAAACCTGCAAAACTTCAGTAGACAGGACATGTTGAGCTTGTTGTATACTTAGGACAGCCATCTTTAGTCCTACAATCTGGAATCCTTCTTGAGCTATTTTCTTGAAAAGTCTTGCCAGGTGTTTCACTACAGCTGACGGTTTAATGAGTAGAAATGTTGTGAGCAGTTGTGGGCCAGCTAGCATGAAGTCAAATATGTTCTCTTGTACCTGGGGAGGATGTGATGGGCGGAATTTTTTCCAGCTGCAGAAATGTAACACATGCATTAATTGGGATGTAAATTCATAGAAGCTTAATCAATACTCAATGGGAAATTGGTTACCAATGCATGATATAGATCAAGGATATGTTTTTTATCTCTCTGCTCTGCTGTACAATATATTCAACCTAACAAGCAAGAACCCTCACTCTGCATGTGCTGAGCTATCATGAAGTCTTGACTCTGGTAGGTAGGGCAGCAGAGGCCGACACTTCGGGTCAGGGTAGAGGTCATGACGTGAAAAGAAGAGACGGATGTAGGTGTAAGCTTCATCAGCAGTCTGAGACATCATTTTGTCCAGGGACAGCTTCTGACCCCGAGGAGAGTGACCAGCAGTAGCATTGCGGTCTGGGAAGAGACTTGTTAGGATCTTGAAAGCATTGACCCCACGGACAGCCAGCACTAGCACAGGTTCTGCAAAGGAACATTGTGTGTGGAGGTCTATAAGCAGTATGTCACTTACGAGACTCCAAGACTAGAAAAAACACTTGACTGTTGTAGCTGAAACCACTATCAGCAAACTTATTAAAATCTAAATATTTTAGATATTTAAATACTTACCTTACCTCATGGCCTACTTGCAAACAGTAATAATAACTAATATCACATATCTTACAGCATTTATACCCCATATAGCAGTAATACCACAACTGATCCTTGCATGATGGGACCTCTGTAATCAGCTAGTATACAAGTAGAAATGGTGCCTGTTGAAGTGGACTATGTTTCAAGATGTCATCTGTTCTGTTGGTGTCAGGCCATATGTAAAATGGAGGCATTAATTACCATGTGATCAACAACTGCTAGGCTGATACACATCATCAAAATAAAACTACCAGATAAGTAAGTGGTATAAGATGATCTTGAAACAAACTTCCTGAGCCTGCGTGTTCGCTCTGATTTGTTTTTTTAATGTTTGTTTAATACTATGTATGACTCACTAAGGACTCGTCCTGGACTGACATTTAGAAATCTAAAGATTTAGATTCTTTGGTATCAATTCTTGAATTTCTGTTCCAAAATGAATCAAATTTTCATTAGAAACTTGTTCTGTGAATTCAAGTGTATGAACCCACCTAGTGTGAGAGTGTGGATGCTCTCCCTCCACTGCTTGTCCCCGACCTCGAAAGGTGTGACCTCCCGCGCCTGGGACAAGGACAGAGAGGGCAGCCACTTCAACCCCAGCAGCTCAAATCCTGTACTCAAAGGGGAGACAACTGGTGTCTTACTGTGTGGCACCAAATTCAGAATCTTGCCTGAAAAAAGAAGAAGAAATTTTTTGCATGATGATAGAAATATTTTACATAAGATCTATCTGAGCAAACTTTTATGCTTCGACTGTTATTCTCACGCCTGAACATTTCGCCAAATAATTTATACCAGTTGGAGTCAATATTTTCTCATTATGTTTCAACTTGAAAATTACTAAAGTACTGTCGGAAATAGAAAAAACCCTGTTTTTTCACATTTATAACTACAATTTAGGTAGTTAATATGTGAAAGTGTGAAATATCTGTTAAACTAAGTTCGTCCTGACTACAGTTGCAGTGGGAGGGAGATAGGAAACGTAAAAGAAGGATTTTACTGAGGAGAGGTTAGTGCAGAAATAAGCAACGCGGGTTTTTCTAAGTCCAAAGCGACTTATTCAGAACAGACCATGGCTTTATGCAAATTAGTGTGCGATGATATTGTATTACAAAGGACACTTTTTAAATGATCATTTTGAAATTAGACTTAGCTTCATTATAAACGATAGCGGACTTAAAAAATAACAACTTTAATACTGAAACTATGAAGGATGTAGCTACCATGACGTCTCACTATCACTATAAAAAGAAACAGGTAGAAGGGGTCGTCTCAAAAGCAAAATCAGGATGGGTGTCACAGACGGTGGTTGGGGTCGGGCTGGGGAACTAAGATATTAGCTAAGGTAAGATAATCAATAGAGACAGATTTAATACACATGAAAAAACATAAAATATCTTTGAGATGACCCCTTGTGCCTGTGGGCAGCACATGCATTTCATGCCAGGTGAGTCGACGGTCTGTCGTCATACAGGGACCAACAAGTACCATATTTTAACGTCTTTTGGTTTGACGCGGTCGGGGATCGAACCTGCGACCTTCCGCTCTCCGGGCGGACGCTCTAACCACTACACCATGGAGGCGGTCTCTATAGTCTGATCTATTGTTTTGAGCAGCTATTCATATTTTTTCTAAGTTTTGCCCGATTTTACGAGTAAACATGCTTTTCTGGATATCCTATTACGCATCCCTCTGAATTCCCAGTTAGGCCGATTTGGGTTATTTCGACATATGCTCTTTTCTATTTCTGACAGTACTCTACCTTATCTATTACCTCAAAGGTTTAAGTTCTATGCTTTACATTAGAAAAATATTAGTAACTGTAGAATCTTTGCTGAGAAAGTTACATGGTGTCAAAGAGGTATATCCATTAAAACATGAGTCTGTTGACAATTGTGAATGTTGTGAATACACTGTTTTTCAGAAAGTGATCAACTGTAACAAATGTTATACTGGGGATTACATTTTTTAGTGGCATTGGTAAAATGGGCAACCACAACTACCAGACAATGTGAACATCCCTGTTGCAGAAGACTACCTACCCATGAGCAGGCCACAGGACTTGAGTATGTCATGGCCACACAGTAACAGGACAGCAACCTGCTCCAGCTCGGGGTTGGTGTACATGCTGGGCTGTAGATAGCTGGGACTGCACTGGAGCTCGTACTCTGGACACTGCAATATGTAGAACATCAGTACATATATGTACAACACTGCATGTTCAGCTTGTATACACATGTACAACATCAGTACATATATGTACAACCCTGCATGTTCAGCTTGTATACACATGTACAACATCAGTACATATATGTACAACACTGCATGTTCAGCTTGTATGCACATGTAAAACATCAGTACATATATGTACAACACTGCATGTTCAGCTTGTATACACATGTACAACATCAGTACATACATGTACAACACTGCATGTTCAGCTTGTATACACATGTACAACATCAGTACATACATGTACAACACTGCATGTTCAGCTTGTATACACATGTAAAACATCAGTACATACATGTACAACACTGCATGTTCAGCTTGTATACACATGTAAAACATCAGTACATACATGTACAACACTGCATGTTCAACTTGTATACACATGAACATCAGTACATATATGTACAACACTGCATGTTTAGCTTGTATACACATGTACAATATCAGTACATACATGTACATCACTGCATGTTTAACTGTATACACATGTACAATATCAGTACATACAAGTACAACACTGCATGTTCAACTTGTATACACATGTAAAACATCAGTACATATATGTACAACACTGCATGTTCAACTTGGATACACATGTACAACATCAGTACATACATGTACAACACTGCATGTTCAACTTGTATACACATGAACAACATCAGTACATATATGTACAACACTGCATGTTTAACTTGTATACACATGTACAACATCAGTACATACATGGACAACACTGCATGTTTAACTGTATACATACACATGTACAACAACAGTAGACTGCATTTATGTGTTACATACACATGTACAAAATAACTAAACTTAACATAGGTTTATATTCAAAACTAGTACAATGTATATTCGCATTTAAGGATACCACTATATAACATGTCACAAAGAAGCTGGGCTATTGCTCACCAGAAGCAAAAGTTAGGCCACCATACTCAGGGAGATGGAGACTAAAGGTATCTTTACTACCTGCATGATATTCCTAGCAGGGATTACACATCCATTCATCTGTTGGCAAGGTTAGTCAGCACATAAAACCAACACATATTCTACACTTATAATTGGGGAATATATAAATATACTGTGAATGATGTGGACTTTCTAAGATACAATTACTTTTCATTACTTTAAAGCCCATCAAAGGAACAGGCAGTAAGAATCTGTGTTGAGTTAATATTCCAAATTAATAGGAATTCATTTTATATAGAACTTATGCATCAGATTAATAAACAATTCTATTTGGTTTTTTACAATGATTCTCTCATCACAAGGTATACAACATACTAACTTTTCAATAAATATGCATGTGTATAGCTAGTATGAGGTGCCAGAAACATCTGGTTATTTCTAGTCTGCTGATGCTACTTATTGACTTGACGCACCTTGCTGAAGTCCCCTCCCAGCAGGTTGAGCAATCCGTCGGTGAAGGTAGCAGCATGGAACAGATGTCTTGATGTCAGTTTGAAGGCCATTTCCTTCTGTACATGGCCTGAAATACACAACAATCTCAAATATATCTTGGTATTCCAGCTGAATTATGGCCGCAACTAAATGTTGTCAATAACTTTCTAGCAAATCATGTCAGTGAGAATATGTTGTCAATAATATACCAGTTCAATCATGGCTGCAACTAAATGTTGTCAATACCATTCAAGCTAAATCATGCCAGCAAGTAATAACATTCTAGTTAAATCATGGCAGCAACTGAATGTTGTCAAAGATATTCCAGCTCAATCATGGCTGCAACTGAATGTTGTCAAAGATATTCCAGCTCAATCATGGCTGCAACTGAATGTTGTCAAAGATATTCCAGCTCAATCATGGCTGCAACTAAATGTTGTCAAAGATATTCCAGCTCAATCATGGCTGCAACTAAATGTTGTCAAAGATATTCCAGCTCAATCATGGCTGCAACTAAATGTTGTCAAAGATATTCCAGCTCAATCATGGCTGCAACTAAATGTTGTCAAAGATATTCCAGCTCAATCATGGCTGCAACTAAATGTTGTCAAAGATATTCCAGCTCAAACATGGCTGCAACTAAATGATAAATGTTGTCAAAGATATTCCAGCTCAATCATGGCAGAGAATGAATGTTGTCAATAATATTCCATCTTAATCATGGTAATAAGTGAATGTTGTCTATAAGGCTCCAGCTCGATCATGCTAGCATATGAATGTTGTCAGTAATTCCAGCTCAGTTATCATAATGAGGCTTGGTAATGAGCAAATGTCCCCAGAACAGTTTCACTAGATCCAGTGTTCCTGTGGGTTTAATCTATTGTCACCTGCAGAAACCCTTATCATGGCAGAGATCCCAAACAGAAAATTGAACCAGATTTATTTGTTTCGAGAACAATTTAACCTTCCAGGACATCCTGAAGGTTCTCAAAGAGTAAGACCAACTGTAGCACAGACAATACATCTACTGGCCAGTGTCCTCTGGCATATGTTATCTGTATGAGGTTTTGGGTAATTTTGAAAAGAAAATTGTACTTATTGAGTTATACACAGCTTTTAACATTTGCATCAGGCACTTCACATATTGAACCCATATGAGGAATAAAACCTATGTTCAGTGTGATGGGCCAATGCCTTAACTACTGGGCTACCCAACCACTGCTGTAAACTGGGAAGCTCAGACAAAATATATCAAATAGAGGTTCATTTGAATCCAAGTGTCTTTCGATGTCAGTATATCAACACAAGTCCATAACAGTTTAAATCTTTCAGGACCAGAGGAGTCTTAAATATTCATCAACAAGTGTGGCAAGGGAGCTATTAACTTTCATTGTTGGGAGTGAACATATTTGATGTCATGGGAAGTTTATTCAAATCCTTCTTCTAATCTTTTCATTTTGTAAAATGTTATAACCAGTGTCTTGAGTGTAGAATGTACAACTAAAGTACTGTTGGAAATAGAAAAAAACAGTTTTTAGGTTGTCACTCTGTATCCCTAAAATTTACACAATTGCAAATAGCATATGTTGAAATAACCCACATCGGCCTAACTGAGTGTTCAGTGGGGTGCGTAATAGGATATCCAGGAAAGCATGTTTACTCGTAAAATCAGGCAAAACTTAGAAAAATGTAATGTTTAAAGTAAAATTGATATTTTCATACTTATACTTATCCTGACTCATGATCTTTTGCTTATCTCCCTTTCCCTTTCGAATGGTAGTGGAACACTTGAATCCCTTGAAGTTCCCGACGCGGACGTAAAAATACACTCACCCACGAGTTACCTCCCATTTGACCTTTTCCGGCGCAAACAGTCATGTGACCAGCCTTACTTGCCACTCTCTCCTGAATTTCTGCCCATGCACTTGGATCTGCTGTGAAATCCAAAGTGTCTTCAGCAGGGAGGTTGGGAGGGCTTCTCGTCATGAGTCAGGATAAGTAAAAAAATATCAATTTTACTTAAAAAATTACATATTTTTACTTATCCTGACTCATGATCTTTAGCTTATAGAATCCGACGGATTGATGGTGGGTCAAGCCACTTCGTGGATTCAACAGCTGTCCTTAGATACGTCCTGTATCCCCCCCATGGGAACTGTGAAACAGCATTTCTGTGATCCTATTCTTCCAACTTCCGTTATAACTCGGGGGGACCACTTTCTTGTCTTACTTTAGTCTCAGACAAGTTGAATGATGTTGATTCATGTGGCTACAGATAAACTAGTATCTTCTTATTACTAGATATTTCATAACAACCCATAGATTATGATAAGATCTTTGTCATAAATGAGTTGCGACACCTTCACGTACAGGTAAGATATTTACCCGTACAGGATCTTTAATCACTCTAGCCTGTCCTAGAATGTGCGCATGGACTTTCAAACTAATACTTTTTCCTTAGTAAAAGTTATCAACAAGTCAACGTGATAAAGGGTGAGATTTTCCAACTCAGCGCCTTTGAGGAACCGTTAGTTGCTGTGCTACAACGAGAGGCCCAAATTGGTGAATGCCTGAGATGTCTTCGGGTGGCTATGTCTCGGAGGTAGTGGTTGGCAAACACTGTGTCCGACTTCCAAAAGCAGCCCTCCATAATTGTTGGTATAGAGCAATTTCCGTGCAGAGCCAGTGTTGACGCCAGTGCCCTGACTTCATGTGGATTGGAAGCTCTAGGAGGTTCTAGTCCTGCTGCTTTATAGGCTCTCAATATGACGGCTCTCATCCTGAATGATATGGTCGTTCTTGAGACTTCTGCTGATGTCTCTGTTGATAATGGGATGAACAGGCGCTTGAATTTTTGTCTCCTAGTCTCAGTCTTTTAAAGATATATCTTCAGGGCTCAGACCGGACACAAGGATAGGTCTTCTATATCATCTGGGCCGAGGCCGAGGATTGTAGATAGCGCTGGTACGTGGAATTGCTGACCAGGTAGTTGGTTCTTGGCAATGAAGTCCCATCTAAGTCCTAGATGAACTGCAGTATGTTGCCCCCTGTCGAATCTTGTTCGACCAAAGTCCAGCGCATGTATCTCTGATATTCAGGCTGCCGTGGCTAGCGCAAGCAGGAACAGAGTCTTCTGTGTCAGCAGCTCAAGGGTAGTCTGGTCTAGAGGTTCCTAGGCATCACTCGTAAGATGACGTAAAATTACATTCAGATCCCAGGCTGGAGCTCTGAACTTTTGCTGGTCCTCCAGTTTAAATGATCTCAGCAGAGCAAGTAATTCTGGTACTTTCGTCAACTTGATGCCTGTTTTCGTGGTAATCACTGTACTGATGGCAGCGAGGTATGTAGACAATGTCAAACCTTTCATATGTCTGGTCTGTCTAAGATGACACAGATATTCTGCCACTTGAGGATGAGTAGCTATCATCGCAGTGAAGCCTTTCCGCCTTGTATAAGTCTCAAACTTCAGCCATTTGTCATCATACAGGTTACGAGTAGATCAGCGTAACGCTAGCGTTACTGACTTGGCTGCCCTGGCGGAGTATCCTCTTTTCTTCAAACATGTTTTGCTACGGTCCACACGTGTAGCTGGAACACTGTTGGGTTCCCGTGGATTTGCTTGGTGTGCGGATGTATGAGTAGGTTCGGCCAATCTGGTAACTTGATTGCTGGACAACCGAAATCTTCTATTAGGTCTAGGAACCATACTCTCACTGGCCAGTAGGGCCCGACCAAAGTCAGTTGTAGCGCCTGTGTCTGTTTGATCTTCAACAGTACTTGAGGATCTGGAACTGGTGAGACAAACGCCTCAGTAGTTGCCCAGGCTTGTTGAACCGGTGGCTTAAAACGTCAGGTTTGTTGCATGGGGCATCCTATTTCCTATTTATGATGAGCCGAAATGCTTCTGGATGGAGTATCCATTCTGTAGGTGACGGGTCCAGTGGTCGGGAGAGAGCGTCTGCATGCACGTTCTTGGCTCCAGGTATGTGACACGCCTTTATCCAGATGTTTGCCTCCTCCATGATGTCAAACAACTGGAATGTGAGCTGTAGCAGGCTTGGAGACCTTGTGGATCCTTGCAGATTTATGGAGAATGCCACTGTAGATTTGTCCATGTGGACCATCAGCATTTTGTTGTTCAGCGAGCTCGACCATAGTTGTAAGGCGTTGATCACGGCTTTCATCTCCAGCAGATTGATGTGAAGATGCTGCTCTATTTTGGACTACCCTCCTGATGCACCTTGATTGTTGAGATGCGCACTCCAGCCCTGCATCGAGGCGTCTGCGCAGAGATGTGTGTCAAGGCGTCGGCTTCTTGTAAATAGGTCCCTCCGCAAACGTTCGACCTGTGCGTCCACCACAGTAGATACCTCTTGAGGTTGTCTGGCAGCAAGATAGGGTTGACGCTGTCTAGATGTTTTGTCAGGAACCGTTGCAGCGTTCTTAGTTGTAACCGTCCTGTGCGAGTCAAGTCCTGCACAGAGGTTAGTAGACCGAGTAGAACTTGCCATGATCGTAGTGTTAACGGAGAGATGACTGCTGGTGGAATCATGGCTTGTATCTTGACCCAACGATCTTCTGGGACCACAATTCAATTCTGTGTTGTGATAATTCTTATTCCCAGCAATTGAAGATCTTGTTTGATTCTAACTCCAACTTTATCAGGTTCACTAGCCATCCTAGTTGCGTGAGCAACTTAATTGTGAAGTTCAGCTGCTGTCTGAGTTGATTGGCACTTTGAAGAACCTGAATGCCGTCATCCAGATAACCGGCACTGCGTAGACCTTGATGCTGCAGATAGGTGCCGATAGGCTTGGTTATTCGTATGAATAATCATAGAGCCGACGATATTCCAAACGGTAGGACGTTCCATTGGAAGTGCTAACCTCTGATTGCAGTGATGATACATCATTCTTCCCCTTATATACGCAGGCGATCTGTGTTGACATCGAAGCGTTGTCTATTTATAGCAAGGCTGGCTCCAGTGTAGCATCGCAGGGGACAGGTACTTGTATCCAAAATAAACATCGTTTATCCTGCTGTCATCTATTAGATTCCCATGATGATAACAGGCCGTAGTTGTACACT